TCTCACAGCTCTGCAAACCAGACCCCCATTTTTCTGTTCTGCACCACTCATCCATTGCCACAGAACTCATACTGACTCACCACAACCCTGCATTGGGTTTCCAAGTATATTAATCTGTTGGGAAGAGGTTTCCCATCTCTCTTCTTCAGAATGCCTGACAAATCGGAACCCCGACCTGTCCACTTAGCCTAACACAAAATCACTCCTTAAGTTTCTTATTTGGACAAAAGAATATTTTAAAGGGAGCTCTGGTGGCCTAGGGGCAAGAAGAAGCTGCCCTGCAATCCCAGAGGTATGCAGTTAGAATCCACCAGACGCTTTGCTGAAGAAGGAGGGGCAATCTCTTCCTGTACCAGTCAGATCCAGTTTGATGGTACATTGTTGTTGTTATGTGCTGTTCAGTCGTTTGCAACTCATAGCGACCCTATGTACAACAGCCCTAAACCGTGCTCTATCCTGTGCCAATCTCGTTGCCTCTGACACACCCATCCCGATTACCCCAGTCACTGAATCAATCCACCTCATAGAGGGTCTTCCCTTCCTGCACTGTCCCTCTACTCTACCCAGCATGATGTCCCTCTCTAAAGACCTGTCTCTCCTTACAACATGTCCAAAGTATGTCAGATGAAGCCCCAGAATCCTTGCCTCCAAGGAGCAGTCTGGTTTAACCCTCTCTAGGATGAATCTGTTTGTTTTCTTGGCAGTCCATGGTACATTCAATACTCTTCTCCAGCAGCAAAGCTCAAAGGCGTCAATTCTCCTTCTATCCTCCCTAGTCATTGTCCAACTCTCTGATGCGTAACAAGTGATTGCAAAGACCATGGCCTGTATCAGGCGGACCTTAGTCTCCAGAGAGACACCGTTGCTCTTGAGAACTTTAGCGGTCCCTAACCATAGACTTTCCCATCGCAATATGTTTTTTGATTTCCTGGCTGCTGGTGCCAAGAGTGTTGACCGTGAAGCCAAGCAAACTGAAGCTGTGAACAATCTCAATCTCTTTGCCATCCATCCTGATGACATTACATACACACAAGAATAATAAAGTTAAAAAAATAATTTAAAAAAGAATAATTTTAAAGACTCTAATACTTTAAAAAAAATTCCTCCTCAGTTGAATTGATTTTAATAACATCTTGTCACAGCCTTACTGAAAGTCGCCTTTTTCTTTTAATTGCAGGTGGGAGGGATTGAACTGTAGAGAACACCAGAAATGGGTCATTCTGCTACATTCCTGCAGGTGATCAGGACTCAGGGACATGGAGGAGAGAGCAACCAACCAATATGTAATGGCTTTACACACTAATTTTTCTGACTACAATGAACTGTGCAGAACTATTCATTAATTCTAATTATTATACTACTTGGGTTAGGAAATAGTGCCATACACTGTAAACAGTCAATTTTAAATGCCATTGAACAGTTTGAGGTAATATGCTTATTATTCAAAGGGCCTTGAAACAAATGTGGCTTACAAAACTATTTCAGAACCTCATGTCAGAATTTGTTTTCCCTTGGAATTCCCAGAGAAAGTGCCTAGGTCTGTTGATGAAGGGGGCACGATTTTAATACACAGTTGCCTGTTTAAATAAATGGGCATCCTTGACAGTGGGCAGGCTTTGAAGCCAGTTAAGAATCACTAAGAACTATGCAGCCCACATCCAGCTACTCACAGTCTGCTGTGTGTGCCGTTGTGTGCAGCCTTTTGCAATTGAGTTAATGCTTTTGAGAAAGCTCAGCCTCATGCCAGGGCCCTAGGTGAAGCAGTGTGTTTGCTGGGAGGGATTTGTGAATATTTTTTTTTCCCTTGGAGGCAGGACTGGCCTTCTTTGGGGTCTGTGGTGACTGTGAACAGACACTGGAAAAGCACAAAGCAGCTCTGTCTCACATACATTGAGCATGTTGTCAGGAGGCATCAGTCCTTAGAAGGAAAGGTAGAAGGTTAGCGGAAAAGAAGAAGATCTCCAGCGAAGTGAAAGAACACAGTGACGGCGGCAGTGGACTTGAGCATGGTGGCGGTCGGGAACGTGATACAGGTTAGGGCAGGGTTTTGATCTGTTGCTTACAGGGCCATTGTGAGTTGTGGTCAACTCGATGGCATCTCACAGTGACAAAGTATCTGTGTGTGTTACATCAGTGTCCTCCCGGGATCTGTGTTTCTCCACGGGAACCGTGGCCAGCCCCCCTCTGTAGCCCTCCACAGTGCACACTGGCTTAGTTCTCACAGCACATTTCTATATTACACCATGCAGCTGTCAAACAGTAGGAATAGCACCTGGGTATAGAGATAAAAAATATGATCCCATCAGTTCAACGATGTGAATCTGTGTGGATTCATTCACAAGCTCGTAACAGAAGTCAATGAAGTGACTCCAATTCTGGCTTCTCTAATGCCTCAGACACCTTGCTTGTAAATGGGGCAAAGATTCATTACAGAGATTATACAAGCAGGTTTCATTAAAGGGTAGAAGATTAGAACATGCTGGCATGTTTATTTTAAAATGTTCCTGTGGTCTAGTGGATGCGGAGTTACGCTGCCAAGCCAAAGGCATACAGTTTGAGTCCACCAGCTCCTCCAAAGTAGAAAGATGGCCAGTCTCCTCAAGGGTGATTTACAGGCTCTCATACCCTGATGGAGGATCAGCTGTGAGTCAGATCCACACTGACGGCCTTGAGTTGTATAAGGCAGGAATGGGATGTTTCAGGTCTGCATGTTCTAATGGAGAATAGATTCTCTCACAAAGAAGCAAAAAGAAAAAAGGTATCTTTCTGAGAAAGACAGACTGAAGACATGTCACACAGCCGTGTGGACGAGGGAGGCATGGCAGCTGGAGCAGGGTGGTGTCCTGGGACAGAATGAGGGTGGCAGTGGATAAACTGTGCAGTCAGAACCAGGCTGGAGTTTAGAAGTGTGTCCGGATTGGATTTCCTGGTTTGGACTAATGTACAGTAAAAACGTGAGGTGCTGTCAACAGGGCAAAGAGAGTGAAGGGTGTGTGGGAGCTCTGGTGCTGTCTTTATGACTTTTTTAACAACTGAAATTGCAGGGAGAGTCATGGGTGTTGGATCTGCCACCCACACCCAGATATTTGGGGTGGGGGCTTGATGTCAACTCCAAAGCCATTATGTCCCCTTCTGGATACAACTCAGGGACTGTGGGTATAGACCAAACCAAAGGAAGAGAAAAGTGTTCCAGAAAAGTGAAGGTGGGTAATTTATTACAGTATAGGAAGTGCTAAGTATAGTAAAGTACAGTGAGAGAGAAAGGAGCCCTGGTGGTATAGTGCTTAAGCATGTGGGTATTAACCAAAAGGTTGGTGGAAACCCACCAACTGGTCTGTGGAAGACAGGACAGTCTCCTCCTATAAAGATGTATAGGAAGTCCTGTGGAATTTGTTGAGTCAGACTTGATCTACAGCAAGATTATCATGGAAAAAGCATGACTCTGGAGGAAGAGGGGGAAGGAGGAAGAGAGAGAGAGAGAGATCAAGATAAATTTCTGGTACTGTCACCTACAAGCTTTGTGATCTCGGGCCCACATGCCGCTATAGGCTTCCTCCTGGCTTTCAAAATGGAGCCATTGACACAGGTTTGCCAGGGTCATTGTGAGGACAACTGAAGATGAGAATGTGACCATATAGATAGCCTTTATTTTCAGCTGGTGTGACATTTTCCACTGCTTCATGTGCATCTCAAAGCTGGACAGAGAATAAGGGTGACAGAAGATATGATGCCTATGAGTTGTGGTGTTAGAGAAGAGTACTGAATAGTCCTCGGACTTTGAAAAGAACGAGTCTTTCTCAGAGGAAGTGCAACCAGGATGCTCCTTACAGACAAGGATGGCGAATCTTCATCTCATATTTTGGGCATGTTGTCAGGAAGGGTTATTTCTTGGGAAAAGACACCCTGCTGGGAAAAGTAGAGGGTCAGAGCAAGAGAGGAAGACCCTGAACAAGGTGCATGGGCATGGAGACTGAGAGGATGAAAATGTCGGAGGTTGTGAGGATGGCACAGATGGTTCAGAACCATTGTTCTTAGGGTTGCTGTGAACAAACAGCAGAACAAACAGCCTATAACAACATTATATTACAGAGGAGCTCTGGTGGCATTGTCCATAGGGTGTTACGCTGCTAACTAAAAGGCCAGCAGTTCGCAACCCCTCCAGGAGAAGGAGAAGCAGACTTCTTTTCACTAAAACTTAGTCTCAGAAAGCTGGTGGAGGGTCACTGTGAGTCTGAGTCCTTTGATGGCAGCAAATTTGTTTTGGAGACATGGTCCAGGAATCATGCCAAGTGTTTTTTCATCTCTGTTTCCGTCATTTTCATCTCTGTAACACCAGCATTATGTTGACATTTTACAGAAGGGAGGTTCTCTGGATCAGAGAATCTCAAAGACATGTAAGTGCAGGAAGCCTACTCTTGGGGCTTAACACGCCCTGACCACCCAGCATACAGGGTTGCCAGGTTGCACTCTTGACTTCCAGATCCTATCTGGTGTGTTTTATGGGTACCTTCACCCCCACCCCCAGTCCAGTGTTCCCCTCAGGAGATGGTTACTTATGGTGATCAGCTTCTCTGGACTTTCCAACAATAACCCTGCTTGTGTCTTAAAACCACAACAGTTCAAACAAAACGGGAAGAGCCCAGCAGAGTTCTTTGTGACATTGACTTCTTTCATTGAGATTTTGTTCAAGGATTACTTTGAATTACCTGGGAATAGCTTTTTCTTTTTTTCCTTTTTCTTTTTGTGGTTAGAAAGGAGACATCATGTGTTACCATGTCATTTGTTTGAAGGAGTATTTGTCAGAGGAAATAAAAAGGTGCATCTGGTGTTAACCTGAAAGGTTAAACTCACTTGTTTAAGCAGGAGGAGTAGTTACTAGTAATGAGCCTGGTTTCTACCAGCAGTGTGAGGGTAAGTAAGGGCAGCGCTTCAGTGGTTACTCAGCTTGTGTGTTGATCGGGACGTGTCTAATAACCCCCTGATGTGCTCTTGCCTTTCAGTTTTTCCCCTACATCCTTCTGCTGCTGGCGATCCTCCTGTACCTGCCGTCCCTCTTCTGGCGTTTCGCGGCTACTCCTCACCTCTGCTCGGATCTCAAGTTCATCATGGAGGAGCTTGACAAAGTTTACAACCGTGCAATTAAAGCCGCCCAGAGTGTCCGAGACCTGGACCTGAAGGACAGTGCCTGCCCGGTGCCGGCTGACAACGTGGGGCAGAGGTAAGGCAGCCAGCAGGTGAATCTATAGGCTTTGTAGGAGAAGTTCTCAGCCTCTCACCAGCCAGCTTCAACCCAGGACGCCCTTTGCCAGGAAGTATTGGGAAGGGTCATTGAACTCATGTCTGTGTTCTGTGGGGGCCAGGAAGGCTCCTCCGAAATCTCACAGGAGTACTTTCTATTTAGTGACACTCCACTCTCTCAGCTTTTAGAAATGCAGTTCTAGCAGGGACATTATCCAAGTCTGTAAACCCAAAGGCAGCGAATGCTTCTCTTCTGGTTTGAATCCATCAGCAGCTCTGCTAGAGAAACTAGACAGTCTCCTCCTTTGTGATTTACAGCCTCCCAAAACCCACTAGGAGTCAGTTTCCCTGACCCATGGTCAGCTGTGTGTGAGCAGGGTTATCAGGTTAAGGACCTACAGGTACTGTCCTTACTTTGCCTCCTTAGAGAAAAGTGCAAAAGGCTTAGAGGCCTGCAAGTGACCACCCAACAACTAGAAGCACCAGAGGAAGAAGGAATGTTAGGAATTGGTGAAGGAAACGGAATATGTGTCCATTGCTTTCATTGATAACTACCCCCTTTGCCAGAATGATAATGTTGCCCAGCCATCATTACTGAACATTTAGATAGAATATTCTGTACAAGAATCTTGATCAAAAGAAGGGAAATGGGAACAGAAGTGAAAATTATTATGGAAGGCAGGCTTTCTAGAGCCATTGTTCTGAATAATCCCCAGGAACTAGTACAGGGAGGAAATCTTTAAACCAGGAATCAAAAATATTCCCAGAAGTCATCTTTGAACAAAATAATTGTTTCATTTAATTGGAAAAGGAGGTCTGAATTAAGCTTGATACTCTTGTGATACGATAACAGAGCCAGAAAAAATAGATAAGCTTAGAGGGGCGGAGAGTGGTGTTAATGATGGTGAGAAGTTTGGAAAGGTTATCAAGAAAGATGGCACACCTTGAAGTATGTCGCCATTGTCAAAGAACTGGACATGTGGAATTGTTGAAGTGATCTGGATTTTGTCGTGTATATATTCTTACAAAAAGAGATGAAACAGGGTGTGAAGCAACTGAGTCTGAGAGAAAGAAGTGACAAGTGAAGAGGGAGTAAGTAAGCAGGACCCACACTGCCTACAGCTTTTCTTACAGACAGTAGTAACTGATAATTTTCTTTTTTCAGTATTTAGTTATAGCCTAGATCCTGTGTCCAGTGCTTTAAGTTCATTTTCTCATTTAGTTTGAACACATGATCAATCAAGTGTCAGTAGTATATGCTTTCTTCCATATAAAGGCACTGAAGCCTAGAGAAATTGGAATACCTATCCCAATCCTATAACTTAAGAGTAGGCAGGCATGAGTGGGCCCATACCTGCTGGCCCCAGCCCCTGTGCCCACAGCCACCAAGCTGTCTACCTCTCAGCCACACCTAGACGAGGCTTATGTGTGTCCCAGTTGCGTCCAGAAGTTCTTCACTACCTTATTCTGTACGATGTAATAGTGTATTTTAAAGCTGCAGAATAAGAACTATCAAATATATTTAAACAACACTTATTGTTGTTAGGTACCATTGAGTCGAGTACAACTCATAGCAACCTTATAAACAGCACATAAGAAATTCTGTGCTATCCTCATTCCTGACACACTAGAACCTATTGTAGCAGTCTCTGTGTCATTCCACCTGGTTGAAGGTCTTCCTCTCCTTCGCCAACCCTCCACCCTTCCTAGCAACATGCCCAAAGTATGTAAGGCAAAGCCCTTTATTTGGAGAAGCCCTCAACTACAGACTTTCTCAGTGCAGTGTGTCTCCCTTATTTCCTGACTTCTGGCACCAAGGTGTTAATTGTGGATCCAAGTAAGGTGATACTATTGATAGTTTTAATCTCTTCTCCATCCATCATGACACTTCCTATTGTTCCAGTGGTAAGAATCTTTGTTTTCTTGACACTGAGGTGCAATCCATACCGAAGGCTGCACTTCTTGATCTTTGGCAACAAGTCCTTCAAGTCCTCCTCACTTTCAGCAAGCAAGGTTTTGTTATCTGCATAATGCAGGTTATTGATGAGTCTCCCTCCAATCCTGATGCCACATTTCTCTTCATAGAGTGCAGCTTCTTGAATAATTTGCTTAGAATAGATATGGAGAAAGAATATAACGCTAATGCTCTCTCTTTTTAATTTTAAACCATGCAGTGTTCCCCTGCTCTGTTCACACAAAAGCTTCTTGGTCCAGGTAGAGGTTTCACTTGAGCACAATTAAATGTACTGGGATTCCTTTTCCTCTCAGTGTCAGCCACATCTCGTTATGATCCCCGCAGTGAAATGCCTTTGCATAGTCAATGAAGCAAATAGATGTTCTTTTGGTATTATTTACTTTCATCCAGGAAACGTCTGGCATCAGCAATGATGTCCTTGGTACCATGGCCTCTTTATGTATTGTGCTAGCCATTTTTTAATGATTTTCAACAGTATTTTGCTTGCTTGTGATATTAATGATACTATTTGATAGTTTCACATTCTGTTAAATCATTTTTCTTGGGAATGGGAACAAATATGAACCTTTTCCAGTCTGTTGGCCAGACAGCTATTCTCCAAATTTCCTGGCATAGACTGGTGAGCACATCCAAGGCTGCATTTGTTAATTGAAATATGACAGTTGGTATCCTGTTGATTCCTGTGCCTTATTTTTTGCCAGTGCTTTCAATGCAGCCTCCACTTCCTCCTTCATTACCATTGGCTCCTGTTCATATGGTACATCCTGAAATTTTTCAGTGTCATTCAGTTGTTTTTGGTACAGTGATTCTATGTATTCCCCTCATCTTCTTTTGATGCTTTCTGGGTATGTGAGATGAAGTGTCACCATCCTTGCTTCCAAGGAGCACCCTGCTTGCACCTTCTCCAAGACAGACTTACTTGTTCTTTTGGAAGTCCTTGGGCTCTTCATTCCATGGAGTACTCTTTTCCAACACAACAACTCAAAGACATCGATTCTTCTTGTGTCATCCTTGAAATCTTTCAGATGCATAGCAAGTAATCAAAAAGACCATGGTTTGGATCAAGTGTATCTTCATTTATAAACTGCTATTATTGCTCTTTAGCACTTTGGAGAGGTCCCTGACAGCAGATTTCCCCGATGTTAGGTGTCTTGATTCTTGACTGCTGGTACCAAAGGTATTCATTGTGGATTCAAGTAGGATGAAATCATTGACAGTTTCATTCTTTTGACAGATAAGTAGTGATTTAATTTACTCACTCTTTGCCATCAAGTCATAACTGACCCTCCAGTGGGTTTTCAGCGGCTATAGATCAAATGAGAAGAGATGACCCATCTTTCTCCTGCAGAGTAGCTGGTAGATTAGAACTATATGGCTTTAGGTTAACAGTGCAACTTCTTACCTCCTAGCTACCAGTGCACCTGTTTTAATTAAGTAGGCCTTCTGAAATAACAAAGGGAAAAGTAGCTCATTACTTTTTTCCTCTTTCTGTTTTGGCTTTCTTTTTTTAAATCTGATTTTGTTTCCTAGTATTCTAATGAGCCCTGATGGTATAGTCTATAAAGAGTTACACTGCTAAATTAAATGCCGTCCTCTCTGGTATGGACCCACAGTTGGCTTGCTGGGAGAAAGGGGCACCTCCTCTTGTCCAGTATATTGTTGTGTTGTTAAGTGCCGTCTAGTCGCAGGCGACTCATAGGAACCCTATGAACAGAAGTCCTGGACATCTCCTGTATAGCTTTCATCCTTTTTCCAGGTTCATAAGGTTTCCGGAGACAAGCTATTATGGAAATAGATACCACTCCTGCTTCCAAGCTTGTTTTAATCAGGGAGTTTCACCAAACACTGTCCACCATGGTTAACCATTCTTGCATTTGGCTCACCAGTGTCACGGTGTTCGGCTTCACAGCAACCACAAGTTACCTCTGTATGGCAAGTTGACATAGCAGGGTTACACGACCTCGAAGAATTCTGTTTTACCAAAAATGGTTCAAGGCAGGCCTGAGGGCCACTCCTAATCCAAAGGTTGTGGTTCTTACCACCACCACCACCATAGAAAGAGAGAGCAGTTGGCCTAGCAGACAGAGAGCCATGCTTCCAAGCCAAAGATGTCCAGTATATAGCCTCAGAAAACTCAGAAAGCATCAGCTGGTTCTGACTCAGCAGTAATGAGTTCATTCTTCCCCATCACAAGAACATGGAAACGACCTGATTGTCCACAACAATTAAATGGATTGAGAGATTGTGGTACATTTACACAGTGGAATACTACACAGCATGCAGGAACAATTATTTCAAAAATTACTAGATAACTTGGGAGGAACTGAGTGAACTTAACTCAGTCCTGTAAGGACAAACACTGTGTAAGACCATTATTGTAGAAATGGATAATGAGTAAAATTTGTATGAGGATCCAAAGGGGGGACAGAGGGGTGTGATAATGGGTTGGGGGAGTAATCGTAGGGTCACACAATTTGATGGGTGGATAAAGGAAATGGGAAAGATTCAGTGAGGGGTCTTGAAAGACAGAACAATGGTGGGCATATTTCAGCGTTGATTCATTTTATAAAATATAATGAATGGGAGTGATTGTATGAAACACAATGTGAAAGAAGATAGTGTGAAAATGATGTATACAAACTTTGTAAGCAAACCAGTATAAAAATAAAAATTTTATTTAAAAAACCAACCTAAAAACAGTAATGAGTTTGAGCCGAGTATTCTATTGCAATCCTTCTTTGAGATTTTTATTGTCATATTGAATATTATTAAGCATTTAATATGTGATAATCTTGGTAAGGGTTTAATTTTTTCCCTATAAAAAATTTTACTATTTTTTGATTGCATCAAAGTTTACAAATCCTCTTGATTTTTCTTTTCAATCATTCATAGAATTTTTGTTTGATAATATCAATTAATGTAGCAGATTAATTATAATGGCCTGTCAGTCCCTTATTGTGAATTCCCTTCACCCTGGCTATCTGTGTATTATTATTTTTGTTTCCTTTTCAGTTTGTGGGAGATATCTGAGAGTCACTTTAAGTACCCAATTGTGGAGCAGTACTTGAAGACAAAGAAAAACTCTTTTAATTTAATCGTTAAGTACCTCAGCTGCCGAGTGCTGACACTCATGATTATACTGTTAGCGTGTGTCTACCTGGGCTATTACTGCAGCCTCTCCTCGCTCTCTGACGAGTTTGTCTGCAACATCAAGTCAGGGATCCTGCGGAACGACACCTCTGTCCCCGATCGCTTCCAGTGCAAACTCATCGCGGTGGGCATCTTCCAGCTGCTCAGCTTCATCAACCTGGTGGTTTACGCCCTGCTGGCTCCCATTGTCGTCTACACCCTGTTTGTTCCATTCCGACAGAAGACTGATGTCCTCAAAGTCTACGAGATCCTGCCCACCTTCGATGTCCTGCATTTCAAGTCCCAAGGGTACAACGACCTGAGCCTCTACAATCTTTTCCTGGAAGAGAACATAAGTGAGCTCAAGTCATACAAGTGTCTTAAGATCCTGGAAAATATCAAGAGCAGTGGCCAGGGAATTGACCCGATGCTCCTACTCACAAACCTGGGTATGATCAAGATGGACGTTGTTGATGGCAAAACATCCAAGACTATTCCAAGCGCGGTGAGAGAAGAGCAGGAGAAACAGATGACAGAGCTCCAAGGTAGGCTTGGCTCCGGGTGGGGGCTGAGGGAGCCCGCAGAGCGCGTTGCAGCCACGCTTGAGCATCTTGGCTGCCACTGGTGAAGCACTTTCCTAGGTGGTCTTAGGGAAGCCATCTTGGCAGAGGTGGGAAAGAATTAACTATCTCACATTTCCAAAGAAGGAAAGTGTCTGTATTTATTCCCTCCTCATTCCTTCCCCATCTCAAATGTGCCTCTCACTCAAACCCCCCAGCTTGTCCCTCTCACGCACTTTGTCTCATTTGACATGCTTTACTCTCTGTGCTGCTAATCCCCTCATCTGTCCGCCTTACCGAAGTCAAAGCTGTTTACGTTTACTTAGTGTACTTTGAAATTTTGCTATGAAGTAAAAGGAGGCAAAGCAAAGTACAGGCTGTAGACTCAGCTCTGGGTAACGGTTAGTGCTGTAGTTGTTGTTGTGTGTCGATGTACACATTGGTCACAAATACTTGTTTTCAATTTTGACAGTCATGAATCTACACAGTGAAAGCAATGCGAATAATGGAGAGAAGATTGTCCGGCAAAGACTTATGGATTCTTCTTACTGATTTTGGTTTCCTTTGAACGTCAGTCCGTGACTTTTATGGTGTGGAATTTGTTTTGACTTGAAGCTCCTCTGTCAAGGTTCACAGTAGCTTGCAGTCAAGAAGTGGGTTTTGGGGGAGGCATTGGGGAGTGGGTGGCTGGAGTTACAGAGTCCCTGCTGAAAATGAAGATGATGGTCAAAAGAACACTCTGAAGAAGAGGCCAGAGAAAGGATACCACAATGTGTGTGTGTGTGTGTGTGTGTGTGTGTGTGTAAGAGAGAGTGTATGTGTAAAAGAAATCTCGGATGAAAAGAGGAAGAATAGTGAAATGAATGTTGACTTTTTCAAGTCTTAGAGAAAATACCTGTCTTTCTAGATGGTGGCCACGGAAACCAGAGCTACGAGAAAACATGGACTTGGGAAGTGTTGTTTGTTTTAGGAAGTAAAAATAAACATATCAAGAGACAGCTTTAAAACTCCTGCATAACTCTTGAAGTGAGAAGAGCATTCTGGCTGTGGCCTGAAGTTCAACTTGCCCTTAATAGGGAGCTGGATTGACAGTGATGCTGGTGCTGCGCTTCTCACACACTCAGGCTCTTACTATTCTGTCACTTGTCAACACTGGCTAATTGCATGTAACAGCTGCAGCGACCACCACTATTTGATGCACTGGGCAGGGCTGTGGGCCTAAGCACTACTCTGCTTGAAAACTTAGTGAAATAGAATCGAAAGGATACTCATTTTATGGCATTGTGACGTTGATGTTACAGTGTGGATAAAATGTTTCAGCGGGATCCCACTGGGGAAATCTAAACATATAGTGCAGATTAAATCCAGCACCACCAAGAGGCCGGTGCACAGAACCCTCCTACCTTAGCAGGAGCATAGGAGATAGGACTTTATTTAAATACACGAACAGAGTATGAGGGTATTCCAGTGAGGGACCTCAATCCCTAATATGGTCAGAGCCATAAATGGTCTCTACTCTTTGATGTGCTTCCAGCCAGAACTAAGCAGAATTAAGCAGGCCATTTTTATTTATATTTAAACACAACTCTTTACATTGCAGTGTCAGAATTGAGGCCACTTAAGGCCAACTTGGGATGTGTTAAAAACTTCTCCCACTTCTCACTATGTTTACATTTTATACAGTGTTCTCAAAAATTACACCTGTGGACTTCCGAATATTTTTTATTCTTCAAAAATTAACACATTGCTAAAGTGAGTAATCCTCAGGAATCTCAAAGTTTACTTCACACTCATAGGATCAGTTATTTCCCTGCTCTAATTACTGTCTTAAGAAAAACAACAACACAAATATATATATACATGTATGCTGACGTCTGCCTCAGAAATTTCAGAAAAGCAGGTTCTATTTTTTGATTTTGTGACAGTTTTCTGAGATAGAAAGCTGATAATGAATACAATGATGTAATCAGTGTTTTAAATTATTCTCTGACTTGGTATTTATTACTATTAAGTTATAGGATGAGTTTGAAATGGCAGTAACATGAAAAGAGTTGATTTTGCTATGTTTTTATACCACTGTGTCTGAGACGTTCTTTCCTAATTGTATTAGTGTCATAATTTGAAGAGATTTGTGAAATGTACTTTTTCTAGAATGTGATCATTTTTTTAAAAGCCTCCTCTTCTCTGTGGACTGCCTTTAACATTTATTGTGAAGTGGTGAAAATGAGGACATTGTTTTAGGAGACCCGGAACCCTCCAAGCCTCATCACATGTGGTCTGTGTATCAGAGCCATATACCTGCAGTCCTAGAACTCTGCTCAGTTCATTTTTCCCTTCACATCTCCTTCCAGTAGGTTCTTCAAGGTTTTGTCACTGTGTCACTAGCTATGCAGATGTAAACATGGAGCTTTGAAATCTTTAAGGCATTCAGAGTCTAGAAGACGTCGAGGACAGACTTGAGAGTTAAGAGGCGAAAAAGTAGTTAAGTAAAGGCCCTGCTAGAAAATTTCAAGCAGCTGCTCTGCATCCCGGGAGACACCACGTTGTTTTGGTTTCGTTCTTTCCCCCATAGTTTCCATAGCTGATGGTTTTGAGAGTCTAGTTAGAGATTTTCCCAGAAGCAGGTGATGTTTTTTTCCCAGAGGCTTAAAGTTGTTAAGCCTCAAGTCCTCCCAATTGGAGCTTTCAGAAAGCGTTAACATACTGATTTGAACAAGAGCTCCAGTTGCCTTTTTGTTTCATCCTGTAGACGGAGAGGGGGACAAGCCAGCAAGGTGTTGTGGAGGTGGGAGGGTAAAGCAGGAATGTCTCTGAAAGGCGGATGGAGATCACTGCCTATTTGGTCCTACTTGAGAAAACATCTTAATGAGGCTCCTTAACTCTTATCCACTGTGAATTGCTGGCGTGAAGGGACTCCTTTTGAGCTGGTTTCTAAAGGAGAGGAGTGGTTCACCATTTGTAAGAAGAGACAGATCCTGAAGGGCTTTTCTCAGCGTTACCTTGTTCTGCCTCCTGTCTCCCCAGCAAAATTAAAGCAGATTCATGTTAAGTGTTTCAGCTGGAATCCAGCAGATCCTTCTGAAAGCTATACTCCAGTCGCATGCCTAATTTACCAAGGCATGAGCACAGACCCTCCAGTGTAGAGATTGTTACGCTTTGAGGGAGTCACAAACCCTCTTGAGACTCCTTAAGAAGCAATGGTGGACACTCTGCTTAGAGAGACGGCATTGAAAACACACCTTTAAAGGTTGCTGCAGCATCTGCATCTCCAGTCAGATGTTGTGTTCTATTGGCTGGAGGCCTTCTCTTTAGAGAAGGAGGCATACCTCTGGCCTGTGAAAGTTACTCCGTCCAGGAATAAGGCTCAGCTGTAGATGTGCTCACTGAAATCATGCCTACAACTTTTGAGTGCATCTTTTGAGCGACCAATGGAACAAGGTCTGGGTGAGCAGGCAGCTTGTGCTGACTGCTGGCCACTCCCTGACCACAGGTCATTGGCTCCTTCCTGATTTGGATAATGATCCCCATCAGGCTCACTGGAAGGTGGGAGGGAGGGTGGGCAGTAACATTTGTAAAACGCTTATATAAGGCTATAAACTTCCACATGTACAGTTGTCGGGGATGTTGGTGTGTTGATCTTTCCCATGTGGAAATTCCCTTTTGACCCAGTCTCCTCTCCTGTCTGACTGTTCCTTTGTTCTTACTATGGTGAGAATCAGTTCCCCTCAGGGGCTATAGTCTGTTTTATTTGTCCAGAGTTGCAATTGTGTTAGCGGTGCATGACAACCTTGTAGGTATTGGCATAGTACTCTTCTCCATATGGGGTTTTGTGAGAGCTTATTTTTCACAAGTAGGAAAAATAAGGACTTTCTTCCAAGGCACCTCCAGGGGTACTTGAACTTCCAAACTTTTTGGTTAGCAGCCGAGCCCCTGTGTACCACACTCTTATTGCCAGTCAGCAAGAAAGAGATCTAAAAGGATGGATTGATTTTTTTTTAAATCCACTCCTTTATGTCAAGTTCCTAAAACAGAGAATGTCATGTAATTGGCACGCTGTAAATATTTGTTGAGTGAATGAGTGAACAAACCAACCATTATGGTAATCTAATTTGCTGGAACTTGTGATTTGATTTTTAAAGACAAATGGCCCTCTGCAGGGGAGAGGAAGCTCATCTACTGACAGTAGAGGAGGAATATGCTTGGAAATTAATAGATACTGCTTTTTACATAAAAGTAGCAATAGTCTAGCTTTTTATTGTGAATTAAATCATGACCACTTTCTCAGTTTCATACAACTTCAGTGTTAACTGGTAATGATAAGGGGAAATTAAAGTTTTCAGATTCTTGACTGTCTAAATAATTGTGCCATGTAACCATTTGAGAAAGGATGTTGATTGAAACGTGCAATTACTAATGATTGTGGTTTCGTGTGAGGGTGGAAAGATTATAAACAGCTCCTTCTAGGCCGTCACTGGCATTTTGGCCTCTACTTTTTAAAAAAGATTGACAAGGATGGTATTGTAGAATAGAATAGATGGTAATTTGTGAGTGGTTTCCCCTGTGTGCTTTAAATGAAATATATTGTGCCTCTCAGTTCTCCTGTAAAAATTCTTTGTCACTGAAAGCATGCAGCTTAATTAGTAATTGTTCTTCAAGTTTGTGAAAAGTTACAGAAATTTTCGTGCCTTGAGTTTTTTCCTGTGCCCACAAGAGAAAAATCCTTATAGAATCCATAGTGTTTTATGTGTTCCCAGTAGGGAAAATTGAAATCCTTAGCTGCTCTTTAACAAGTTGACATTTTTAAAAAATGTGCCAGAATTATAGTTTAATGATCTTGTGTAAAATAGTTCTGTAGACATCATTGAAATTGTTTTTAATTACTGAATTTCTTCAGAAACCTTTAAGGAAAGTGTTTCTTTTTGCTGTGTCATTTCCTAAGAATGTTGCCAGCCTGGGAAGAGCGATTTTAAACATTAAGACCATTTCTATTACCGCTCCACAAAGACCTACAACTGTGAACAAACCTTGGCGATGGAAAATGATCCATTACAAAGCACAAGAATCTTAAAAGCTACACATTTTGTTGGTTAACTTGCTATTATGTTTCCTATTTCACAAATAAGTCACTTGGCCAAACCCTGCCATTCCCATTTGAAATGCTGAACATGAAGGCTGCTGTGTCTGTAGATAAAGACAAGACAGTGTTTTAGTTCTGAGGCATGTGTCCACTTAAATAAAACTCTTGATTTGTGAACAAGGCATCTTGGTTTGGTTTTTTAATTTTATTTTTTTTTTTGCCTGCCCTATGGAGAGTCACCTCACAGGAAAAGAACAGATAAGCTGGGAGTGTCTAGAAGCTCATTTCTCTCTGCTTGATATTTAAAATTCACTAGGTGCTGTCGTTCTTGCTAAAATCCAGCTGTTAGGAACTAAAGGAATACAGTCCTTGATGAAGGGTACACAATCTGTGATTTCTAAGGCATGACTCACACGTCCTCTGATTGGGGATTGTTTGCTGGGCTTGGGGAGGAAGGAATAGACTGAATATATGT